GGAATTCTTACCCTTTCCGTTAAGCATTGAATACACTTTTTTGAGGAGAGGGTTATCACCGCCTGTGCATCGATTCAAAAAGTCATCGTAATCTACAGCCATAATCATAGCCCCTCTCAAACCCATGCTCTTCAGAAATGTCATCTTAAGTGACAACAAAATTCATATGAGTTTACAATTGACTAAATGATCATTCATTACATTCATTACTTTGCATTCAATACTGTTTTCATCCTCATATCCAATGAACATGTTATTAGACCAGCCATAGGGAGCCATATAGTAATGATCGTAAGATATTTTCCATTCCTTGTAATCTTTCATCACTAACTCACAAATCTGTTCAATAGATTTATGATTAAAAATTATTTTTAAAAACTCTTATTTATCTCTCAATTTATAAATTGTAATCAAAAATTCTACAAAGCATTGAATAGGATGTGCAAGTATTTCAAATATTACAACCTTTAAAATAAGTTATTGAAAAAACAACATTTCAAATATTGTTTCCTAAAGATGATGTAAATAAATACAAACCTCATTATAACCTAATAAACCTTCTTCTTGTGATATGGGACCGGCGGGTGACATACATTTGGCCTCATCATGAATACGACACTGAGTTGAGCTTAATATAGTCCAGGCCCTGCCATAAAAAGGCACTCCCATCACCATCTTATCCTTCCTAAGGCCCAGTTGTAAGTAATAATTGATAGTATAGTTAACAGAGGAAGTCATATAATCTATATTCAATTCCTCAGACAACTCCTCGGTCTCATCGGGTCTGTTATATATGGGTGCGTTGTGTCCCAAGTATCCATCAAACCGGTGGTAATCGTATGTCATTATATTGACCCAATCCACTAGACTATCAAGTAATGGCATATCATATGCTGAATCAATGATATGTTTTTCAGGAGAAATGGAAACCGTTAAGAGATGTCCGGTGGTCCCAAACACTTCGTCAAATTCTTCCAATAGTTTAATATAATTTTCTTTGTCAGTAGCCGAACCACCTCTATTACCCGGGTATTGCCAGTCCAGGTTTATGCCATCGAAATTGTATTTATCCAGAAATGTGACCACACTTTTGACAAACTTTTGTCTACTCTCAGTATTGGTGACCATATCTGAGTACTTCTCTCTCTATTACCCGGGTATTGCCAGTCCAGGTTTATGCCATCGAAATTGTATTTATCCAGAAATGTGACCACACTTTTGACAAACTTTTGTCTACTCTCAGTATTGGTGACCATATCTGAGTACTTCTCTGAGCCCTCATTCCAACCGCCAATTGATATCATTGTCGTTATGTTTGGGTTCTTCTTCCTTAGGTTCACAAACCTCTCATAATTTTCTAGTATTTAAAGACATATTTTAGTTTACAATTTTTGTATTCACATTACTTACCAAGGCGTTCGTCCAGCCAGTCATCAAACATTTGGATTTCATAAGTGGTTTCATTAAGTTTGGCAAAACCATAGTTAATATGAGTGCATAAGTCATAGTCAATGTTCTCGACATCAAAGGGATCTACTCTGTGATAGTGAGACCAACTGTTGAAGTGACAGACAATAGGGTGCGGGTTCTTAGTGTAGTCGTTGTGGTCACGTTTGGGGACAACCGGTGGTAAAGGAGTTGTGCTTTTAGGTAAGTCCTCCATACAGTATTTCACTGTATCATTCCAATGGCCGGTATAACACTCTCTAATATCCAACTCCCAGCCCTCTTTGGTCCCATTCCTAAATCTTTTACAGACAACAAACTTGTGTCTGTCGTTCGGGTAGGGAAAGGCACCCTCTTCTTCACAGTCATCAAATGGCATGTCTGTTGGGGAACCGTTAGCTTCTGTAGTTGTGGTTGTGGTTATCTAAATCTTTTACAGACAACAAACTTGTGTCTGTCGTTCGGGTAGGGAAAGGCACCCTCTTCTTCACAGTCATCAAATGGCATGTCTGTTGGGGAACCGTTAGCTTCTGTAGTTGTGGTTGTGGTTATGGGACGGGCACTCGTATACGGATCTAATATACATGTATTTGCATCTGAATCCCATACAGTATTAGGCTTACAGTCTTTAATGGCGACCTGCCATCCCTCATAACTAGGTGTTATGATATGCACACAATTTATAAATTGATGTCTATTACCCGGGTGTGCAAATAATCCTTGAAATGGACATGAGAATATTATGCCTTTATTTTGACCTAAAAAATATTGAATGACATGATATAATAATTGTTGAATTTTGGGATTTTTATAATTATAACCCGTATTCGCTATAATTACTGAAAATAGTTGCGATAATATAAGAATCAATTGAAACATGATTTTAATGTTGTTTTATTCAAATAACACTCAAAGTTGGTTTAGCACTACATTTAGTTTTTTTATTTCAATCAAATCAACTCATTTATGTTTAAGTGTTAATTTGAAGTGATTAATAAGTTACATTTTGATTAAAACACTTGAATTTATCAATATTATCATATATTTTATCTTATTCTATGGCTAACATTCTATGGCTTTTAAATAACATAATCAACCAATGCACAATTTTTGGTCATTACATTATACTGTATTACAGTATTGTATATAAAAAGTAATAAAAATGATTTTTTGACATTAAGCTTTGGAAATAAAAATTGGAACTGATTTTGATATATTTACAATGTAATTTATAATATTATAATGTAATATACAGTAATGTAAAATTAATTACATTATAAATATATCAAAATCAATTTTAATGAATTAACAAATAAATCTAAATATTGATTGAGACCGATCATTTAATATGCATCATTTTATTTTAAATTATGTTTATATACAATGTTTTATATTATTTAAAATTGCATTCAATTATACATTACTGTTATAGAAATCATATTTAATTTACCGGTATTATCAAATCAAACTCGTATTGCAAATATTTTGCAAACATAATAAACTTTAAGTCCATTACTGATTACTGGTCGCACTTTTTGTGGGACTGATTCCAACGTGTCTGAGCCGCGCAATGCATTTGGTGTAACCACCAGCCACTTCCCGGCACCCATTCGCACTGGTAATATTGGTGGGGGTCACTGGGGTGGGGCATATAGCCATCTCGAGAGCACCAAAAGTCAACCGGATCCTGTGTGGTGGGAGCAGGTGTCGGGGTTGTAGTGGTTGGTCTGGTTGTGGTCGTTGGTCTAGTGGTAGTCGTGGGTCTGGTGGTAGTCGTGGGTCTGGTGGTAGTCGTGGGTCTGGTCGTGGTTGTGGGGGCCGGCGTAGTGGTCGTAGTTGTTGTAGTAGTGGTTGTGGTGGTAGTGGTTGGCCGGGGAGTAGTTGGGAACAGATCTCCGTATTTGCATTCCATTGAAGTCTTTTCGTCTCCGTTGAGCATTGAATAGACTTTTGTGAGGAGCGGGTATTTCCCTCCTTTGCACCGACCCTTAAAGTCGTCGTTTTCAAGCGACCAAACCATAGCCCCCTTCAGTCCCTTTCCTTTCAAAAATGCTATCTATTTATAAAAATACA